TGGAGTTTGTCCTGTTCAATATCTTTTTTGATGACTTGGACAAGAGCACTGAGTGCACCCTCAGTAAGCTTGCAGATGACATCAAGCTGGGAGGAAGCATCAATCTGCCTGGGGATAGGAAGGTCCTACAGGGAGAACTAGGCAGGCTGGATTGCTGTGCTGAAGACAGTTTGATGAAGTTCAACAAAACCAGGTGTCAGGTTCTGTGCTTTGGCAACAGCAACCTCCAGGAAACAATACAGCCTTGAAGCAGAGTGGCTGGAAGACTGTGTGGAAGAAATGGACCTGAGGCAATTGATGCTCAACTGAGCATAACCCAGCAGTGTGTCCTGGTGGCCAAGAAGGCCAGTGGTGTCCTGGCTTGTATAAGAAATAGTGTCCAGCAGGAACAGGAAAGTGCTCATCCCTTTGTATTCAGCACTGGTGAGCTCACACCTCAAGTACTATGTTCAGTTTTGGGCCCCTAAGAAAGACACTGGGGCCCTGGAGCATGTCTAGAGAAGGGCAACAAATCTGGTGAGAGGTCTGAAGCACAAACCTTATTAGGAGCAGCTGAGAGAACTGGGATTGCTTAGTCTCGAGAAGAGGAGACTCAGGGTGACCTTACCACTCTCTTCAATTGGAGGTTTTTTCCAACCTTGATGATTCTGATTCCACTGTCCACAATGGGTGTGTAGAAGCAGTTTAATCTCAGAGTGAATCTATGTTACAAGAGCCGTTCTGTCCCAAGCTGGCTAATCACAGAAACATAAGACATAACATAGTCTTATGTTTTTTCAACAAAAATGGTTTTGGGGTATGTGACTTCAACATGAAAACCGAAGACAGAGATGGCTGTTTCTTTTCGTATTAATTTATTAGTCTAACCTGTAATTTTATGAGATTTCCCACTGAACTTTAATAGTTGATCGACCTCCAAAATATCTCATCTAAATCAGAGTAAAATTTCATTCCGTTAAGCCCTGAGGTGGTATGGCCTTTGAAAGTACGTGTTTTCAGAAGTTCCAGTAAGACCTGAGTTAAAAGATGCAACACCATACTTCCAGTGAATTGGACCTGTGTCAGCATGTATCAAGGTTGTCTGCAAAGTGGAGGAAGCTTAGATTCCTCCTCTCTATCCTGACCACATTTTATCTCTTTGCAATCCATTCCCCAGATACTCAGTTTTAGGAAGTGAATCACAGTTGTTCCATGGGAGAGCAATGAAAGAAAGGAAGGAGGAGGATGCCCCTCAAATTCTCATGTTTGGGTGCCCTTTTTTTTAACTTCCCTTCCTTCTCAACAATACCATACCTGTAGGTCAGTAATAACTGAGCAGACATATTCTACAAATGCATCTCAAATCTAACCTGACAAAAGTGAGAGTAAACTGAGGAGCGATATAGCAGCCTTCCCTCTTCAAGCCGCTATAACTTTCAAAAATACCTATGAATGTAATCATTGAAAAGAAAGTTAATGAGCATATATCAGAGAGGTCAGATTTCGACTTGTGCACATGCACAAATGCACATTCTCTGAAAAATCATAAGCTTAAGGAAGGCCCTTCAATTCACTGTTTTCCAGCTAAGTTGCCTCTCTTTGTATTTGTATTCTTTCCTCGCATTTCTATCTTGTGAGAAACAGAAAATCATAGATCTAATTTAGCTAAACATTTAGCATTTCCTTAGTTTCAAATAATTTAAAATATTTCTACTGAAATCCAGCCTACTTCAATTACTTCTGCAGGCCTCAGAAAGGTTTTCTTGTAACAGTAACATGCTGTGCAATGAAAATTCTTGGGAAAAAAAAAGCATAAGAGCAATGCAACAGAGATGTTTGTAAGTACTGCCAGTTGTTGCAAACACGTAATAGTGTTTCACTTTTATAGATGTAGGCCCACGTTACATTGGTATAATTACTTGTGTGTATAGCTGGATATATATGAGAATAAATATGGCAGCTTTTCTTGATATTAAAATAGAGCTTGTGCCAAAGCTCTTGAATGCTGATGGGTGAGAAGCTGACGACACTTAGTGATTACTAAAAAGTGTTAGCATTTAATTTCACTGTTACCCTATGGACAAGTTTTTCCCCAAAAAAATTATGCATCTCTGTGCTGTGTAACATAATGTGTTATCAGAGCTGACAGAAAAAAAACAAAACAAAACAAAACAAAACAAAAACAACTGTTCTCGTACACATTACATTTTGCACGTAGCCCAACAGTAAGTATCTAGCTTCAGCTGTACAAGAAAGAACTTTGAATTTGTTTGTGAAATGTAACTAAATATCACAGCATTTTTCTGGAAACCAATGGAAGATTTTTATTCCTAAAGCTCAAGTTTGCAGAACTTGTTTTTCTAATGCTTATATTATTTACAGTGTTTCTGACAGTGTCATTTTTCCAAGCTAAGTTCCATCTGAAACCATGAATGCCAGAGGTTTTTGTAGAACGGTAGACACCTCCAGCTAAGAGAACACTGCAAATTAGCAACTTATGCTTTTAATGAGCATATTTTAAAAGTGAGTACTAAGAGTCCTTAGGAAAATAAATTAAGGACAGAAAAAATCAGTGTAGCACAAAGATGGTACTGTATTTTTAGCAATTTAGAGAAAATGCACAGAAATGTGTCTTAACCAGTTATGCTTATGGGTTGGTGCTATCAGTATCACAGAAGTATGTGATGTGCCTATCAGAGTGCAGGATTTGATGCAGTATAAAAAATAATAAGTAAAACAAAACAGGGAACATTCAAAAGCTGAAGTGACAGATACATTTTCATATACACTGCATGAACTTTTGGTTCAGTGCTGTTACCTGCAGTTTTATGAAGTACTTCCCACTATGGCCTTTTAGGCCTATAGCCAAAACATCAATGTAGAAATATCAAACCAATGCAGTATGATCTTATCTGCAATATTTGCTGTATTGCAACGTATCTGAACCATGGTCAAGTCACGGGTGTCTGGAACTGGAAAAAATACAGAATTGTTGAGGTAGTGGGTTGTTATCAATGGTTCTATGACAGGGTGGAGGCTGGTCACAAGTGGTGTCCCTCGAGAGTTGGTCTTAGAACTGATGCTCTTCAACATCTTCATCAGTGACACAGACGATGTGCACCAAGTGCACCCTCAGTAAGTTGCAGATGACACCAAGCTGAGTGGTGCAGTCGATACACTGAAGGGAAGGGAAGCCATCCAGAGGGACCTGGATAGGCTGGCGAAGTCAGTCCATGAGAAACTAATGCGATTCACTAAGGCCAGGTGCAGGGTGCTGCACTTGGGTCAGGGCAATCCCAGATATTTATACAGACTGAGGAAAGATCTCCTTGAGAGCAGCCCTGTGGAGAAGCACTTGGGGGTCCAAGTAAATGAGAAGTTGGAGATGAGCCAGCAGTGTGCGCTTGCTGACTGGAAGGCCAACTGTATCTGGGCTGCATTAAAAAAGGGGTGGCCAGCAGGGAGAGGGAGGTGATTGTCCCCCTCTACTTAGCTCTTGTGAGGCCACATCTGCAGTACTGCGTTCAGGCCTGGGGTCTCCAGCACAAGAAGGAAGTAGCACTCTTGGAATGGGTCCGGAGGAGGGCCACTAAGATGATCAGAGTGCTGGAGCACCTCTCCTATGAGGAAAGGTTGAGGGAACTGGGCTTGTTTAGGAAAAGAGAAGGCTTCAGGGAGACTTCACTGTGGCATTCCAGTATTTGAAAGGAGCATATAAACAGGAGGGGGAACATCTGTTTACGAGGGTGGATAGTGATAAGACAAGGGGAAATGGTTTTAAACTAGAGGAAGGATTAAGTTAGATGTTAGGATGAAGTTTTTCACACAGAGGGTGGTGATGCACTAGAAAAGGTTGCCAAAAGTCTTTGTGTACTTACCACTGGTAGTACACAAAGATCAAAAGATTGATCACAGTATTTTCTGAACTACATCACTTCTTGAGTGGAAATACTATGATGAAAGCTAACTACCATGATGTAAAATAACTGCATTGATACAGGTTTCTGTTCTGACTTAGAAAATACAATTTAACATTAAAAATCAGTGCTGAAATGTGGAGGTACAGAAATGAGTAGAATAAACACTGCAGAGGTATGTACATGCCACAGAGGTGATTAATAAAATGCTTAGTTTCACAAACAAGAAAAGCGAGTTTCAATGTTGCATTTGTCATCTGTTCAATCTGAAATTGCTGAGGCCTATGGAAGAAGTCATTATTAATATCAGAAGATCTTACTGTAGATAAACAGAAGTTCCATTTCTTCTAAGGTTTCTGAGTGGACTGTGGAAATTTCCATCTTTGCATCTTACTTCATCCTCAATTAACGTCTTACCTGTAATACTATTTATACCAGTGACCGTCATCAACAGAGAGTAGGGAAAGGAATGGACGTCATGCCAACTCCTGATCCCTTATAGTCTATGAATTAAGTATGCTTGATATCTTATAATTACCTGTATATATCATTGTTCTACATCAAATTCAATTTGATTTCCAATTCTGTTTTGGCACAGAGACTGAGATTCCCAGGCAAAAGCAGTCCTTAAGCTCTCTTCAGCTATATCTAGTGAAAAGCGTTGGTTAACTGTTGATAGCAAACTATATTAGCTGAACTGCAGTGCTCATGCTAAGATTTCTCCTTCAAATTTTTATGTCTTCGGAAATGTATTCCACTCATTAGTCTCATTTCCAGCTTCTTGAGGGGCACCATAGAACTTGGAGTTCACCTGCAGTTCATCTTTATTTCGGACCTTAAACAGTTACACTGTATCTCATGCTATTATACAAAGTGGCTGCATTCTTCTGAAACAGTTCTGTATAGGTTTATATTATATTTAATTGATCTACATTTTACTTAAATGAATTCTATTTACCAGCTCAAGTTTAGCCTGTATTAGTCTTGTAGAATTTGTCAAACTCTGATTCTCCAAGGATGTAAACAGAATGCATGTATTTTTCAATACTTATTCCCTTTTACTCTATTTACCACGCTAGGGAATTTTTAAATGCCAGTCTAATGATTGACTCTGTACATCATTTCACATTGCAGGGTAGTGTCAGATGCTGGAGTTGCAATGCAGGAAATAAATGTAAGGATCTCTAGATGCTGCTAGTGACTTTGGAAATGTTAGCTATGTGTTCCACATAGTGTTAAATGTATAGCCAAGAGGAGGATAAATACGTTGCCTTGTCTACTTTATAACAGGTAGAACCCATCACAAAACTATTAATGAAATCAGGATATAAAAATAGTAATCAGAATTACATAGTAAAAAAAGCTCAGTAGCTCTCTTTTGTCATGATAGCATTAGACAGCCCTCCTCTCAGAAGGCTTGGATAAATGTCACCTTGTCTTGTTAACTCATCATTAGCAAGATGAAGAAAAAAGACCAGGCCACAGGGCCCACAAACCCTGATCTTCCTGTCACAGAATCACAGAATTGCAGGGGTTGGAAGGGACGTCCAGAGATCATCGAGTCCAACCCCCCTGCCAAAGCAGGTTCCCTACATCAGGTAGCACAGGTAGGCATCCAGGCAGGTCTTGAACATCTCCAGAGAAGGAGACTCCACCACCTCCCTGGGCAAAGGAGATCCGCAGAGCATCTCCACAAGACATGTGAAGTGTAACACAGCCCCAAAAATGCTGAAGCAGAAAAGATGGCAGACAGTTGTCTCTCCTTTCTCCAGGGAGCCATTCTAAGCTGAGGAGGAGAACATACAACACTTGCTTTTACAGATAAATAAGGGAAACACAATTGCATGATATTGGAATATGTTCAATGTCCATCCCAGATGCATGTGACACATGTATAATTCAAGAAACAATTTGGTTATGACCTAACACTTGCTGCAAAACATCTTGAAAAAGTTTCTTCATATCTGCTGTGTCTGAAAAATTGTATGCTCAACCTTGTGTTCACTCTAGTCAGTATGTCTGAGGCACGAAAAGGAAACAAGCCCTTCTCAATCTTTTAAATCTCTTCAGGGCTCATCCAGCAAGATGGTCTTTTCTGAGGAAAAAAAAGAGAGATTTGTATGAGCAGTTGTCTTTTTCCACGATGCCTGATGATAACACCCTTTTTGGACAACAAACCCAATGGCATTATGCAACCAGAATCAGGATCTAAAGTGAGAGTATTAGAGCAGCTGGTGACTGTGTTTGCTAGCCCATGGAAGCAGAGCAGGAGTCAGATAAAAATTAAAAGAGAGAACATCCTTTTCACAAAAAATCTTTGTAAAAATGCTTCTGCATTTAGCAGTTTGTAAACTGAAGGCTTAAATTATAGGTTCGGTATAATTTTATATAACATGCAACTTTACATTTCCTCAAGGAGTATCTCAAAGATTTTACTGAACTATGAAAATTTCACTTGGGACTAAAGTGACAAAAGAACAATTTTCTTTACCTCAGTAAAAACCAGTTTGATCTTGGCTGGGTGATAGCATGAGTTTGCAGGGAATACTGATGTGAACTGTCAAGTATCTGAATTCTGAATTCACTTTCTGAATTCATTATCTCCATTGGATACAGGGATTGAGCTAGAGAGGAGAAAAAATGGAAACAAGTTCATTTGATGTAATAAAATGCAGAAGTTTTCTGACAGAAAAATGCACTAACCTTTCAATCTTCAAGGACATTTCCTGTATGGAATGAATATGGGTGCATATGAAAACATCTTCAACTCTATAAAAACTAAGGAAGATTTGAACCGCAGTGTCCAGTGTTAGTTTTGGTATTGTGAAATCTTCACTGCCATTTTTGTTCCCTGCTCAGTATACTTCTCAGTGGTCTTCAATGACAACAGCAAAAACTCCCTCTTTCTGCATGTAATGGCTGCATACTCCTTGTACTTTAGAATATGTGTTTCAAAAAGTAGTATGCAGCTAGGATCCATCAAATTTTTTCACAGAAGAATTGACAATTTACCTCCTACAGATAAAAATTACTCAAAAATGGATAAAGATTTTTTATGGGTGTTGAGTTTGCTTTCTAACAATGTCCTCAGAGTTTGAAATAGAGCAATTTAGCTGTTTTAGTAATTTTGAACTGAAATACACATTTTGCAGACATCTTTTAATAATTACTATTTTTGTTGTTGTTGTTGGATAAACTTCTATTGATCATTTGCAATGTGAGTCCACTAGTATCATTACAGTCAGTTCAATACCAGTTCAGGGCTAACCCCTGAGATTTTCAGTGATGGGATCCAGCTAGAATGTAATTGCATGACAAGTTCTGGGCTCCAGAGTACTGTGAGAACAAAATGGGATGTTTTAATTTACTTGGCTCACAAATAAATCAGCCATTTTCACTTGATAAAGACCCCTTCCTCATTTATTAGTGCTTTTAATACGCTCTTAAAAGTCAGGCACTACTTACAAATACTTTTCTTTTATGATAATCTGTATATGTTACATGTATTTATTTTATTTAGACATAACTCTATCGCTGCCTAAGCATCTGTGCACTTAGAAGCAAAGAGACTGCAAAACAGTATCACCATATGAAAAAAAAACCCTGAAGCCTCAACATTTCCTTGTATTCTGGTTTTGTAAAAAACATATGCTGTGGTCTTCTTACCAACTTGAGTCATGTGGATTTGATGTAATGTGAGTAAACAGCAAGATATTTAACACAGAAGAGCTAATGATCTTAAGGCTGGCCTTGGGTGCTCAATGACTGGATGCACCCTGACAAACCATCCACATGCCTGCAGCCTACAGCTCTTGCAGACAAGCTGGCAGAAGAGCAGATTTCCTTTCTCCTTGGAAGATGTGATCAGGGCAGCCACAGTTCCACTTGCTGGGATTTAGAGAAGTGGATTAATACCTAGCCAAGGTTCTGGGCTTGCTTTGCTTAGAAGGTGTAAGGCTGCTACACTCTCTTGGTGCCACACATGCAGGAGATATCTTGCTCTGGGACACCTCTGCTAGTGAGCATCCCATCCACAAAGCCTGGACATGGGAGTCATCAGGTAATCTCTGAGCCTGGCTCTCCAGCTGCTTATCTCCACTTACAATCCCAGTTACCCACTTACAGCAATTAAAGAAAAATGATCCATGACAACACCAGAAGTTCTGATTTGTGAGCTACTCTCTCCACCTGTGAAAGATGCTTCCTGGGGCCAGTACCAGGGTCTGCATGAGCGAGGTCTTCCTGAGAGAGCAGACCGAGGCAGCAGATCTGACTCAGTATCTTCCAATCAGTTTTTCCTTATTCTGTTGCTAATCCGACCTCTGGTGTTTACAAGAACCTCTGCCTTCACACCACATTTCTGAAAATCGCCCAGGAAAGCATCATCAAGCATCTAACCCCCTGATCCTCTTCCCCATTCCAGAGGCGCTGTCCCCTCTCCTCACCTCCCCCTCGCTACACTGGCCACTCCTGCACCCCACAACAGCTTCCCAGCAGCCTCCCCCCTCCCCTTAAAGATCCATATAGTCCCGTGTAGTCCTTTAAATCCCCATGCAGTCCCACGGATCTCCCCGTGCCACCCTCCAATGCTCTCATCCCCTGCAGTGCCCCTTCAGCCCTAGAAGTGCCACCGCCACGCAGCCGCGGCAAGGGTTAACGGCGGGGCCGGCGGGCACATGACGGCATGGCCCGGACGGGTTCCGCGCTGCCGGCGAGGAGGCGAGAGGTGAGCGTGGCGAGGAGTGCGCGACCGCTCCGCGCCCTTTTCCGTCCGGTCCCGTCTGCCTTCATTCCCCGGGGAAGGGTAGGGGGAGCTCGGCTCCTCCGACGTCGGGAGAGGGTGAGTCGGCAGCTCTGGTCCCCCGCGTCACAGCGGGGAGGGGGAGAGTGGAGTTGCGGGGGAGAAAAAGCCAAACAAACGAGCCTGTGGTGAGGTTAGCTGGCCGTTACTCACCACGCTGGCCAGCTTGCAGCCGCGAGACAAGGGCGCAGCGTCGTCTGGCAGGACGGGACACACACCCTCCCTGCAGGCGGGTCGCGCCGCGAGTGAATAAGCGGAGATAGGTAACCGCCGGAGGACGGCGCGACTGCCACCGGCTGCGCGGAGCGGCGGCAGCGGCGTGAGCGGCGCAGCGGGGCGGGGCGAGGCGAGGCGAGGCGAGGCGGGGGGCGAGGCGTGGTCCCGGTGCCCGGTCCCCGCGGTAGCTGGCCCTGGGCCGGCCGTCAGCCTGGCACTGCACAGCAAGGGGCAGCACTGCGGCCGGGCAGCTCAGCCTCCCCGGTATCACAGCCACGACATTCACGGCTTTCAGCTGTGCTCTCCTCTCCCGAGTCCGCGGGGGCAGCTTTTCGCCCGGCTTGAAGCTGCTGAAGTTTCAGCTGCGAGGTGTGTGGGAGTTGTACGGGTGGTGGTGGCCGTCTCCTGGGACATCTGCCCGCAGAAGCGCGTGGTGGTAGCAGCGGGACACCGGGGCAGGTGGCTCTGGCCCTGTGGATCTGCCTCCCACGGGGACGCTGCCGGTGCCGCGCCGGGTCCTGCTTGCACTCGCACCTTCTCTGCTGCTGATGCTGCAGTGTCAGCATTTGCGGCCGCGCTCCTGGAGGGTCCAAAGTCATGATGGGCAACGCGAGCGGGGCAGCGGCGTGAGTACAAGGCGCAAGAGTCGGGTTTCACAGAAGCCACAGTGTGTGAGGGTGCTGCAGCTGTCAGCGGCACTTCACTAAGCATGCCTCGGACGGGTGCTCGCTGCCGTCAGGTTGTGTTGGGTTTCTCCACCAGCTCCCTGAACTCTGTAGCTCATCCTAATGAGAGTAACGCCACTCCTTGGGAAGTTCATGCTGCTGTGTTGCAGCAGCCACTTGCAATAGTTCTGCCTTGCTGCCCTCAGTTCTAACGGAGTTGAGGAGGTTCTAATCACCATCGTAAAGACCTGAGAAAGTTTTTCTAGTGGAGTGGTAAAAGTGCTGGGTCCCACTTGTACGAGGACATACATCATCCTGATAGCAACTGCCCTCCTGGTGATAGTCACAGCAACTAGCGGTGGCTACGTTCTGTGCTGTGTTTGTACAGCTCCTTGCACAAAGGCATTCCTTACTGTGACTAATCTTCCCAGGAATTACAGTGATGCAAGCAATAAGTAATTAGTATATTTTATTATGCTAGTGCTGAGAAACTCAGTCATGTTTGGAGGTTGGTCATCTTACTGTGCTGCAGAGAACTTCCTCTGGCTTTTTTATGCCTGGTTCATTGATGCTCTATCAAGAAGGCTTCCTGCAAATCTTGGAGTACCAGAAAACCCTCAGACTGTTCATCCCTCCCCTTGCTTTCCTTGGCTGACCACCCGCATTTAACAAAAGTGAAGTATCATCAGGGTACTGTGGTTTGGAAATCAGCCCCTCGTGGTAGTCCAAAAGTACAGGTGTTGTGAAAAGAACATGAGCTGTCAAAACGGTAGATACTCTGTGAGGCACCTATGATAGCAGTGCATGGTTTCTGAGATAGCAGGTAGCATAGAGGGTCAGAAAGATTCTGTGTAAATTGAGTGGAAGGCTTATTTGTAGTTTAAGTTTTGAAGCTACATTATCTTCCTTTACTGCAGCTATTCCTAATCTGCATGTTGTCCCAACCTTAATTTCCAGAACTCTGTTCAATTTTTTTATTTATTTATTTATTTTTTTTCCAGCTGAAACTCCTTCCCTTGGGAAGGAAAAGCAAAACCCATCACTGCAGTTGTTTTGATTGTGAGCTATAGCCAGGTACCTATGCAGCACCTGTGCAGCAGTCATCATACCAGTACTTCATTTGGTGTGGACGCACTTTTCCAAAAATTAGTTATCAAGCCAAGGGCTGGTACCTCTGCCTGGGTGCATGCTTGTTGCACACAGCTGCAGGGCACAGCAACAACAGGAGCCTCCAGGGCTCTGTTTCTGTAGGACTGTTAGTGAGGCATTGATGCTTTCCCCTGGACTGGTGCTGAGATGGGGCAGGTGGGTGGGGAAGAGGCTGTCTTTGTTCATGATGGGCTGAGGATGTGTGCACAGTCCTGCAGCACACAGTCCAGGAGTACAAAGAGAGGTGACCACGTCTGCTCCCACACTGCATGGCAGCTGCTTTGGAGCTGAAGTTAGAGTCCTTCAGCTTTCTTTGTTTAGGGATGGTGCTTGCTACCTAATGCGCAAAGTGCCCTGATAAATGTCACATAACTGCATGTATCCTAGATTCATTACATCTCTTTCAACTGGCCTCTGCAGCAGTCTGACTCAGGTCTTACTGGAGCTGAAGGGTGTTTGCCTGCTACTTCAGTGGGTGAAGTGGTAAGCCAACTCTTTCTAAACTGCACTGGAGCAGCAGACAGTGTGGCATACCGTGCTGCTGGCACAGGTTTGTGAATTCTTTGTTTTGCTTTTTGAAGGATTACTAATAACATTTTCCAGAGGTTCAATCTGACTTTAAATTTTGCTGCATGATTTTCTGAAAGTGAATTTATAAATCATTGTTGTGTAACTTTGTTGTCATGTTGTTATTGATAGAGGTACATTAATAAAGCTTTGAGTAATGTCAGCTTAAAAAAAGGAGACCTCAGAAGCAATCAACCTAATTGTATTTCCTTTGACATCACTATGAGTTAGACAGAGCACTGCACTGTCTCATGGATGGAGGGAAATATCTCACTGAAAGGTAGCAAGTGCTTGTGTTTCTTTGGTACAGAAAAATAATTCATCTCACACAAATGTAATATTCTTTGGTATTCTTGTATTGTAAGTTTCAGTCTTATTTAGCATTTCAAATTGTCATGTAAGTCGCTATAATCAGAAGCTATTTATGGTGTGAAGGTCAGATAGACTTTTAGAACATAACTAGCATAACTACTGGTTTTTAGTTTGTTACATATGCTTTAATGCGCCTCTAGATATATCCAGTGTTTTGGTTAGAATCAGTTGGGCCCCACTGGCTTTGATATGAGAATGGCATTTTAATGGTAGCTGGTATGAAACAAATGAAATCAATGAAAGGGCATTTGTGACCAAATAATACTGTCATTAATGCGAAGTTCTCATTTGAAAAGATGGGGGAGGTAACTCTCTTCAAGATGTTTTAATATTTTGTTTGCACATTAAAATAATGTTATACTTCTTCATTATAGAATCAGGAAAATGAAAATGAATTCTAGAGAAATAACTTGTTTCTGCTTTCATCCAAAGGAACAAACCGAATGCACTTGTGTGTACTTGCAGAGCATTTGGTTCAAAATATATCCTAGCGGATTGAGGAAAGAAATTAGAGGCCCAGAAATCTTTTCTCCAAATGTAGAAAAACAGCAGTAGACAATGATAAAAGTGAGGCGAAACAGAACTGTCTTCATCATTGTAAAATAGAGTACAGAGGAGAACAGCAGGGAGATCAACCAGCTTTGACCTGGATTTTACCTGAGCTGGCAGGTCTGTGTAAACTGTGTGTACTTCTGTTGATTAAACCAAAGGCACTTCTACCTAATAAAGCTGATGCATTTGTCATGTATTTCTTTGATTATATTAGTACTTTTTGCAGGCAGGGATTATTGACAAGAATGTTCATTTTTTGTAGCCCCATTTATAGATCCATGCTATATTGCTTTGCCAATGAAACTGCCGCCTATGTGTGTCCTCTTCTAAGGAGCTACTCACCTGTGTTAGGGCATGGTACATTCTGCCTTTAAAACAAACTGAGAATTTCAGAACATCCAGCTCTGCCTGTCCTTAGTTGAATTGAAAATAGTGATATGCGCTTCAGCTAGGCGTGAAAATTAATAATACTGCATATAATTTGTGTACTACATGAGTTTTATTATGGACAAACAAATATAAGGAAGAAAGATAATATATAGAATACATATTTTATGACCATTTCAGTGTCAATAGGGTATCTCTTCTTAAAAAATGTCAGTCAGGGTAGTGCTTTTGCCTTTGAATGTAATATACATAGGTCTTTCATTGCTGATGAGTTCAACCTGTAGTGTATGTGTGTGTGAGTATCTGTCCATGTGTATGTATCTCTACAGTTGCTTAGATGACTTCTACTCTATTCTGGAGATGTGCTATGAATGCTGTTTTGCAAAAGGCATGTTTGGTGTTATATATATATATTTTTTATTTTTATTTTTATTTTTATTTTTATTTTTATTTTTATTTTTTTTGGCAGTGCATGGGAAGAGTTTAATATGAAACTTCACACAAACTTCAGTCATGAATAACTGGTCATAACTTTTCTGGCTTCAATGCTGAAAATCTCATGTGCTGAAGATAAAAGTTACAGATCAATTATTTGCTGCACAGAAGTTGTAACGCTGAGTTCAAACCATAATGTATACGTGAATGAAAACCATAATTGAAAATGAACCTCAGCTTTATTCCTATCAACTTAATTTGTGTATCTACCCAAGTTAACTAGGCACTGTATCCATGATTCAACAAACTACTAGAACATGTACATTAATGTTAAACATATGAACCCAGTGACTAAAGTTGGGCATGTACTATTCATCTGAATTAGGGTGATATTACCCAATCTATGTGACATATTAGCCTAGTGATTTCACTGATGCAGCTTTTTTTCTACAGATCTTTTTTAGGCCAGGAAATGTTTAGATCTAGTTGAGGTGTTCAAGAAATGCTCAGATGTGCTAAAAGACATGGATTATAGGGAAATATTGGTGGTAGGTGGATGGTTGGACTAGATCTTGGAGGTCTTTTCCAACCTTGCTGATTCTATGATTCTTTGATGCTGCTGTTTGTTAATTCATGGCTGAGAAGATCATTTAAACCCTTTAAGGTTTTGTCTTCTAAGAATGAAGTAATGGGAAAAGTAAAATAAAGAAAAGTGTTTTAGTGGAAAGTCAGAGTTGCAAAATTACTGGCATAAATTGGAAGATATTCTTGAAATTTTGCAGCTGAATGATGGCGTCCAAGTTAGAGCATATCTCCAGATTTACAATGGAAATCCGCTTTTGCAGGAACAGCAGTTATGTTTTTGAATACCCACCAGAGCTGGAAGGGCCAGGGACATTTCTGTGGTTTTGCTTTTCCCTCTCAATTTTCTTGTGTGTACATTCTTTAAAATGTGAACTGGCATCTCTTTCCTTTTTTGTCTACATCTACATAATGCTGCCCTGCTGTGTTTGCTTTGCAACACCATTTTAATTAACAGACCAAAGAGGTGACAGGAAAAGAGGAGATAGCCTGTTCATCGTAGTGACCACAGTCTGTAAGGGAGTCTTTTCAGTGCTGGCTGCATTCTTTCACTTGCTTAGCATTCACTTCATTTCATGGCTGGTTTAGCTAATGTGAAGGTAGCTGACCTTATTGCAGTCTTCAGCTTTTGAAGAGGCAGGTTCTCTTTGTGTTGAAGTTGTGAGCCTTTGCTTAGCTTTGTTCTTTTTCCTTAACTGGCACTGTAACACTTGTACTTTGTTGCTTGTAGCCAGTGACGTCACAGAGTTACGAGCTCCAAGCAGACCTCTCTTTTATTTGGTGTTATTTACTACATCTTTTTTTTTTTTTCTTTTTTTTTTTTTTTTTTTTTTTTTTAATGCTTTTTTTTTTAAAAAAAAACAGACATTTATGAGGGATTACTTACTAACTCTGGATTGATATCAGTCATAGCTATGGGTCTGTAAAAATACTCTTTGTTTACATTAACTGCTTATAAATGAACAGGAGGTCATGCAGTATGAGCCAACTGACCAAGGTTAT